CTTGAACTACAAAACATTCATAGCAGGGTATACTTTATTATTATTATTATTATTATTATTATTATTATTATTATTATTATTAGTCCTTTATTTATACAGGTAAAAAATGTCATTGAGATTAAAAATCTCATTTTCAAGAGAGACCTGGCTTCATGGCAAAGATAGTCAAAATACACATACCACATAAGTATATAACATTTAAAACAAATACAATATCCCATACCCATTTATATTCTTAATGCGGGAACGTTGTATAGATGTCCAAACGTTTGTATGGGCTAGCAACTACCTGTGAAACAAACGTAAATTCTCAGTCTTCTCAAACAGGAAACAGACTTTTGTTGCTCCGCCTCGGTGGAAAAGCTACATGTTTAAAAAACTCACTTTTTATATGAACAAATAAATTGAGATAAATTTGTAACTGTACATACTTGTGATTAATTTCAAACTGAATTTCTGTTATTACTGTGGCCGACCTGCAGTACCATCATGTCCCACCAGGGACCCCCAACGCACACCTTAAATCAGTGCTGAAATGATGGGACTGAAGTACTGAAAACGTTTTACCTTTTGAATGAATATACAAGCAGAACGGCTGTAGAGGGGGAGAAACAACCCTGTTAGGCTTACTGTGAAACAGAAGCTCTGCGGGCCACTTTGAGGCTCATCTATGTATTAGTACATAACGACAGCCTAACAGCTTTTTAAAATGGTAAAAGGAAAAGAAGCAAGCCGCTCTGAATTAAATTTAGGCTAAAGTCCGGCTGCGGATCTCTCCGTTCACTGCTAAGTTCTCCCTTCTTCTGTGTCACTTTTTCCTTTTTTGGATGTGGAGCCCAAAGCTTGGGGAACGGAGCTTTTTGCCATTTATGTGTATACAGCTGTGCTCCCCACCACTGTCGAGGTTCAGGAAAGTTGAGACGATAAGGCAGGTGATGCAAACATTCACTTTTGTATCTATATAAGCTTGACATCAGTCATCATCAATGATGAATAAAAATGAAATGCCCACTGTTCATTTTCATATTCATCTATTTTTTTTTCTTTGCCCCCCATTATTAATTCAAAACCACAGTGAGCCACTGAAGATGAGCAGAGAGCACCATGTGGCTCTGGCTGTGGTTCAAGACTCCTTTTAGCTGTCAGTATTTATGCTCATTGGTTCAGGATCAGAGATTGCATCAAAAAGACAAGCGTGGAAAAGTTTTACATCGGCTGCTGGCTTACACGAGTAAAAACTAAAAGTTAACCCAACTTTTCAAACAACACAAGAACTGCATATCATCTTACAGTAATGGATACTCTGCTGAACATAACTGGCCTTTTCTCATTCCTTCTGTTTAATAGTGAGACAGTTCCTTTTTTTAGTCTCTCTGCACAGAAATTTATTTTCTTAAAGCTTTTGAAGGCAAACATTTGTAGGAACTTGTTTCAGAAAAGGAGTTTAAGACTGTCTACGGCTGATCTTTACGCTCTGACACTGGTTGAAATGTCAAACCTTATTCCACTGCTTGATAACGTATATTAGATAAAATATTGAGTTTACATGACCTGACATGAGTGAAAGATTTCATATTGATGAAATCAATGGGATTTCATGTATATGAAAGGGGCTGCACAGATACATGAGCCAAACATGGATATCAGCTTATCAGCAAATTGCCTGACATTTATTTATCTGTTCACATTCAGTTAATGATTGGAAGTTTCACAAAATCTGTGATTTGTAAAGGGTTAAGGATTTTAAGTCCTCGCTCCCCCCTTTTTAAGAGAGAGAATCTTTGAACTTCAAATGAAAATGAAAGAGTTGGAACAAATACAACTTGGCACCTTTTGCGCTGTTAGAAAGCGGCCTGTTTGTTGCTGTTTAGCTGACCTTTATTTAAATACAGTTCAGGCTAGGGCTGTGGGATATGACCAAAATCCCGATATAAGAATCCTATCATCCCGATAACGATATAAATCACAAAAATTTAACATTTTCTGTAAATTCTGTGAATCTCGGGCAGCTCGACGTGCGTGAAGTGTTTCCAGCTGGGCGTCGTGTACCTGGAGTCGAGTGTTTTAACCGATGCATGAAACGATACATTTTTAGACATAAGTTGTAAAGGCCGCCGTTTTCTTCGAGTATTTATTACACAGTGTGCTGCGGGGAAAAGCCTGTTCTAACGTTTGAGTCTAAGGTTTATTTTTTTAGCACCTGACGGCTATTTTATGCTTCTCATCCGTAAACATTCTGCAAACTCTTTCACGTGATTCAGTTTATTTTGAAAAGTCTCAACAGGATCTTGAGCTTTATTGTGAAAGGTTTATGTGGAAAACAAACAAGCGGACACGCGATGATGGTTTTACCATCGTTGTTGCTAACGACAACTCAGAAAAACAGGCACTTGTCTGTCTGTAGTGTGGTTATATTAAATATAAGAGAAAGAGAGAACTTTAAGAAATTAATATAGCCACTACAGTGACCATCAAAACAATGAAAAATATATTGCTGTAAACAGTTTATTTTGCGACACCACAAAACAAACGATAGCGTAAAATGAAACGATAGACGTTTTTATATCGTCATCCGATATATATCGTTATATGAACAGCCCTAGTTCAGGCTGGTCCTGCTGACTGATCAGAATAGCAGGGCGTAGGTTTGAGCTCTTTTTATTTGGGGTTTCAAAGTGGGGCCTGCCAGAGAAGAGCAGGTGTCTTAAGAGAGTGATGAAAGAAAGCTGGCCTCTCTCTGATTGAAAGCTTTAGGCCGTTGCCATGGTCCTGTGCACTGTTATGGGATGTTGCTGTAACTAACCACACCTAACATTCACAAAAGTTTTCTCAATGATGGGTGGAAGAATGTAAAAATGACTAAACATATTGTTCACTGCAGCTCATTATCTAGTGTCTTGCTTCTGTTAAGACTAATAAAATCGTTGCCTGTGTTATTTTTCCATATCTTGGTGATTAAAGCCGTTTGCAGAGGTTTAGCTGCTGCGTGCGTTTCATCTACTTATCATCACCGTTTGTTCTGAGTGCAAGTATTCAGTGAGTGGACGGAAACCTTCTCCCGCCTTCTGTTTCCAGGATGAACCAATGGACACAGACCAGAGCAGCACGTTCCTCAGCTCCATCCAGTCAGAGATTGCCAAGTACCAGCTCCTTATTGAAGAAGAAAATCAGAAACTAAAAAGATATAAGGTGGGTCTCTTCTTCAGTAATAATTTCATAATGTTGCATGTGACGTGTCTTACAGAAAGCCGGTCCATGAAGAAGTAATTCTCCTTCCAGAAAGATTGGTGGATGCGGATTTTTTATTATTATTTTTCTTTCTTACAGATTGAAAATATTCGACGAAAGCACAACTACCTTCCTTTCATCATGGAGCTGTTGAAGACGCTGGCAGAGTACCAGCAGTTAATACCTTTGGTGGAGAAGGTAATTCCCCCCCCACTTTCTCCAGCTTTCCACAGCCCTGTTTACTTTGAGCAGGCGAGTGTTCTCAGAAGACTCGAGTACTTTGACATTTTAAAACATTGTTCTTTTAACAAGCACATTATTTTAATTAATAAGCCGAGTGCTGCCAGCAGGTAGCTTTTATGAGCATTGGAGGAGTGATAATGAAATACCTTTTCTTAATGTGAAGGGTCTCTGTGAATTAAGAATTCCCTTTTGAGATTTTGGTGAGGGCATTTCTTTAAGAACACGCTGATTAGTGAAAATGTGTGGAAAGCCAGACTGTAATTGGCTTTTGTGTCCACTAGGGGGCAAACTTGATTTGAAAAATAGGCGCTGTCTTTGAGTGAAGTAATTTCTGTTTATTAATACAGGACCTTTTCATGGGAAATAACTTTTCATTTCATTAATTGATTCCAACTGGACAACAAAAACAGAAAATAAATGTGTTTATTAATCTATTTGTAACTAGAGCATATGAGTTTAATTGTTGTGACTATGATAGTTTAATGGGAAATAACCAGAGGAATTATACAAAGAAATTACATGTGAAATGAGAAGGTCCTCCGTTGCTATTAATAAAAATGTCTCTGGGTTTGTTTCCCCAGGCGAAAGAGAAACAGAGTGCCAAAAAAGCCCAGGAGGCCAAGTGAACAAGAGCACACTATGATTTATACACACACACACGTCCATCCTGAACCCTACAGTCACCCCCCCCCCCCCCCACACACACACACACACACTGTACCTGTCACATATGTATTAATGACCGAAGATGGTCTGCAGCACACTCTCACCATGGCAACCCATTAAACCATCCAGGACTGCCCTTCGGGTGTAGCCAAAAGACTGTCTGGCAAGGAAAAAAAGAAAAATCATGTGTCCATCAGCTCTAATGCATGCTCGAAGGAAAGCTGTTATCAAATGATGTTCTGTCTTATTTTCATAATAAAAATGTCTAGATGTTTGCGGACTGCTTGCTTTTATGGACCTGTATTATGCGTTCCCCTGATGTTTAGATGTCTGCAGATAGTTTACCCATCAGTGCTGTGTAGCTAAATTTCTACTAGTGGATCTTTGGCTCCATCTGGTGGTGTAGCGTTGAAATAGCAGGGCATGTATTTACTGTACTTCTTGAAGGCCGTGTATCAAGACTATTTTTTTCCAGGCTTTGTTATTTAATTAACATAGTGGCACACTCGTACTACAGCTGTTTTTCTAAAAGAGCTCCTACTTAAGCAATCAGACATTCAGATCTTTGTTTTAGAGCTGAACCTGATGGGAGGACACAATCAAGCCGCCAGGTCCTTATAAGTGCATCATCAACAATGGACTGGAAATTTAATGACGTCTGTGTGGCTTTTGGATACATTCCCATTGCAGTGTTTTGATGTTTTTTAACACTGAAGGCAAAGGATCTTCTCTTAATTTGTCAAGTAAATCAAATTCGAGACGGCGGTGTACAGAAATTGGCTGCGCTCGAACAGTGTGTGCGTCTAAAGGCCTGTGCAGACTGACGCATATGCAGAGTGCTGACCAAAGTAGGACGTGGCCCGTTTCTAAATTTGGATCCAATATTTACACACCTTTTGAGTACTCCTTGGATCTGATCCCAGTAGTCTGTTGCCATGATCGTCCATAGCAACAAATGAGAACCCACAGGTTTTACTACCAGTTTAGAGAGAGAGAGGCAAAGACAGTTTTATTTTCTTGCATCAAGCCATGTGGATCAGCAAAGGTGTTCACTATGATGACATACCAGTTTTGCGTTTGTGAATACCAACACCCTGTGCTTTTTTTTTGCACTATCTGCTGTTGTGTACACCAATTGCCATTGTTTTTTTCACGCCTATTGTATCCTTTATTTGGCTGTTGTCACAAAAATGAGTGTGATGATGTGGTAGATGGATGCAGATGTTAGATAAAAGAATTAAGATTCTAAAAATAGCCAGGCATCTACGTAATGGAATGTGTGCTGGGTAAGTCTACTTTAAAGGTCAAGGCAAGTTTATTTGCACAGCTCATTATCACATATGATTCCTCAAAGGTCTTCAGAGGCCTGAAGCGATGACGGTTCCATAATCAGACATGGAGAAAATGTGTGGCAGAATAACATCAGCACTAGGACACAATTCACTTTTTTGTATTCCCTTACTGTTAAATTTCTCGGTTGCTTTCTTTTTGTTCAGCCAGCATTTCAAAACCCAAAAGAACTCGATTTCACAGTGACGCACAAGCATTGAGAAACAGGAACCATCGAATGTTTGGCATTGTTTGTTGACTAAGATTAGGAAGATTCATAGGTTTTCATGATAAATCTTTGGGGGGCAAATAGACACTCTGGAAGAAATACTTCTTCTAGATGTCTTTTCTCCTTTGACAACTAGATGTGCAAACTGTATAAAAAGTCTAGCAGTGCTTTGGAGAGGTATCTATGGGCTAAACACAAAGCATTAGTTTACTTTGTTTTGGGGGGTTTATTTGTTTTCATTGAGCATTAACCTTCAGCTCACTCTTCCAACCAAGTGAAAGAAAGCAGCTTTCATCTGTTGTGGTGAAGAGAGCTAAAAATGAAAGCCAAGCATTGAAATTAAAGCTATTTACTGTAAATTTGTGTTTCTACCCTCACGTATGTGGGCAGGAACTGTAGAAAGTCACCAACAGAAAACAGTCACAGATGCCAGAGGCGGAAATGGGCTTCTTCCGGAGGGTGTCGGGACATGCCCTTAGAAATAAGATAAGTCACTTGGGACGGACTTGGGGTAGAGTTGCTACTCCACGTTGAAAGGAACCAGGGGATTTGAGTAGACACGCCTTAGGCAAGGTGTTTCAGACATGTCCAGTCACTACGACATACTGGCTGGTTTCAAAGTACCTCAGTGAAAAAACAAACACACAGTGAAATGTAGCCTGACACGCTCCTCGACATGTGCAAAAATTGGAGGGGGGGTGTAGAGGAAGAACATTATATATATATATATATATATATATACATACATATAGTATATACACTGGGTGAATGTGCAGTAGAAGCAGCAAGCAGGTGAATTCTGTACATTAATATGAATAGACATCTGACTATTTTACAGGATAGACAATATAAACATATTTAAAGTTAAAGGAATTGAAATGTACATTGTGCCTTGGTTTAGTGTCTGGAAGATTATAGATGATGTGAGCGGGTGAGTGTGTGTGTTTAGGGCACGGATGGCTTGGGGATAGAAGCTCCTCTTGAGTCTCTCTGTCCTTGCCCGGAAGATGCGGAACCTTCTACCAGATTGCAGAAGTTGGAACAGTTTGTTGCCAGGATGGGACGGGTCCTTCAGTATCTGCGCTGCTCTAGTCCGGCATCTCCTGGTGTAGGTGTCCTGAAGCGGGGGGAGAGCAATCCTGCAGCAGCGTTCTGCTGTACGGATCACTCTCTGGAGAGCTTTTTGGTCCTTCACACAGCTGTTCCCAAACCACGATGTCATGTTCTGTGTGAGGATGCTCTTCACAGCGCCTGTATAGAAAATCCTGAGGATCTTTGGAGAGACCCTGAACTTCCTCAGTTGTCGTAGGTGATACAGGCGCTGCCTAGCCTTTTTGGTCTGGACCTGAAGGTGGGCAGCCCATGTCAGGTCTGAGGAGATGTGGACACCAAGATACTTGAAGGACTGCACCCTCTCCACTGGAGCTCCATTGATGATGATGGGCTTGTAGTCTCTGTGCTGACCCCTTCTGAAGTCCACCACCAGCTCCTTGGTCTTGCTGACGTTCAGCTGGAGGTGGTTGTCCTGGCACCACAATGCCAGATTCTTCACTTCATCCATGTAGGCCGCCTCATTGTTGGAGATGGCACCCAACACCACTGTGTCGTCAGCAAACTTCACAATGGTGTTGGAGCCGTGGGTGGCCACACAGTCTGAAGTGTAGAGGGAGTAGAGCAGTGGCGAGAGGACACATCCCTGAGGTGCTCCTGTGTTGATGGTGATGCTGTTGGAGAAGCACCTGCCCACCCAGTTGAATCAGTTGAATAAAACATACATAGAAGCATGAAAGGTTTCCAGGTATAAATGAAAGGATCAAACAAATAAATATGACGTGACTAGAAGAAAGTTTCACCTAAATTACTGGTGTATCAAACATCTTTGGAGACTCCATATCCTAAACATCCCTCACCCCATAGATGTCCTGCAGTTTTATGGGAACATGAATCCAGCACAAAAACAAAGAAAGAGCAGAGTTAAACGCACTGGTATAAAATCGCTGGCTGATGGTGCTCACATCACAGAGAACAGCAGAACATATGGTTCTGGAGAGCAGCCGCTTTAAAAGATGATTCCGTCTTGTCACGACAGCAGGGCAGACATCTGACAGAGAGAGCAGAAGGGAAGGTCTGGGTGTCTGGCCACTGTCAGCCACCACTGTGAGTTCACAGAAGGGGACTCTCCCTGTCAGTCAGGTGGCCCTCTTCTCCTACACTTAGAAATTTAAACATAAGGGGTTACTGTTACAGTGTGCGAACTCAACTGTACAAAAAGGAATGCAATGTTCCAGAAAAGACGAGGAATGTTGTTGTTGGGCAACTGAACATGCTGCACGTTATCTAATAAGTCTGACTGCTCTGTTAAACATTGCGAGGCATTTATCTCAGTAATCATTTGTTATTTCTATTTTAAACAAAGAATTTGGGATTTTAAAGGTCCTCTAAAACTTTGTATTTGTACGTATTTTTTCAGCATTTCCACATACGTTCATTTGTATTTTGAATGTAACACTTTCCTCGAGCTCGCATTACTGTGCACAACCTCGACATGCTGCAGGAACTGGGAAACATAACTCGTATGTAGAAAATGTATGGAAAGAAAATATAGAACAGCTAAGGACGTATTTCCCTTGAGGCCTGGTGGAGACCAAAATTTGAGTTTAAAGACTAGAAACTAACTTATTGTATTAGTATATTAGGTAACATGGCAGAAAGTAAAAAACCACCAGCAAATGTGATTTCAATACTGCTGGTGTTAGCTAGCTAGCTAACAACAGTATTTTTAGGCACAGGTGTTCAAGTATATGAAAATATCACCTTAGAGTAGAAGAATTTAGTATTATATGTGTTATATGTACATGATAATGTGTTCTGTCATGAACTCTGCAAATGCTGCATAAAAAGAGCTGGCGTGACAAAGGCAGTCATTATTTCCGTGAAGTCTTTCCTGTTTGAAACATTTGACATTGGGTGTTGAGTCTGAGCCAAAAGTACTCTGTCAACACTTTGCAAAACGAGTACCTATGCTTTAATGTACATAGCGTAGTACATTCAGTTGTAAGTATGCAAACTCAGACAAACTATATTTGACTATATTTATTCTGTAGTGTGGTTTAAAGCAACGGTACACTAAACACTTCGCACATATTAGCTTTGTACCTTGAAAAGATGTCGACTATGTTTGAGTTTTTCTTACAGGCCCCAGTTACCCCAAAAAGTTAGCTTGGGCACAAGCTAGCCTCAGCTAGTTTATTTACGTCAGCTAGCTTTTTTCTTTTTTTAATTCATTATTTTAAAATTTACTGTTGAAGTGAGTTAAGAAAAACTCACTCTAGCAGTAATGTAGATTTTACATTTCCGAGTAGTCTGCTAAAAGAGGATCCATCTAGGGAGCTACCTTAAATCCCTTTTTGCTGACGTACTACTTTTTCAGACAACTCGTGCATTCTTCAGTGCTACATATTTTGTGCATTAAACTGGTAAACAAACACATCCAGAACATTTCAGTGTTGAAGAAAACATTTTAATAACCAAACAGTCCAGCTGCTCAATGCTTAAATTCACATTAAACACATAGTGCAACATCACATATTTACAGTATCTTACAGTATCACAGTAATTTCAGGCCAAACATAGGCATTAGATGAAACTGTGTCATATAAATTACAATTGTAATTTTGTTTTAATGTAAACTGCTGCAACCAGCAGAGAAATGAAAACATAGAGGTACACGCGAGGTGTGTTTGACCATACAAAGCCTTCAAATGGATATTGTGACAGAAAACACTTCCTGTCACTGTGTTTGGTTTGATGTAAGGCAAGAGATGCAGGCAAGTGTTTTGACTTTGAATGCAGTGGAACTAGATCTGCATCATTGATCAAAATGTCTATTGGTATTGAAAAGAAGGTTCAGGTAATGGCTCAGTGATAAAAGCTTAGCATTAGTCCCATCTGCTTGAGACAGTCTGTGCACTGTCTGCAGTGACATACAGGATCTGGCCAAATCATTCCCGCTTCCTCGTTGAGAGCTCTTGACAGCACTTTGCATTTTCCACACTCGCCCGTTAATGTTTATGCTACGAATTTGCATTCAGCTGTATTATACCGAGGTAGCGCCTGGAATGAACACGGTGGACAGTCTATTTACAGTCACAGGGGTAAGCAAATGACTCCACAAGTGGGTGTCTAGTTATGCTAGGACTCAACGTCCATGTCCTCTCTTGCTGCAGCTGCATACAGTTCGTTGTAGAGGTCAGAGCTGATAAACCTGGGGTAAGAGTTGTTTTCCATCAGGTTGTAGATTTTCCTCTGAGCTACCAGGAAGCTAGTTGCAGTGGGCTTGTGGAGACTCTGTGCGATGGCATTTTTGGTGTGGAAATCCAAGTTGACCTGTGACCAAAGACAAAACATCCAGAATGAGCCTTTGACCTTCATTTTAACAAAGAATATCTTTATTATTAAAAGTGCGTGAATTCTGATTAAAATCAGCTTAAAAAGAACAAACAAATCCGAAGCCATCTGTTAGCCGTTACCTCCTTTGGCGCTTCACTTTTAATGAACTCCTCGTAAATGCGGTTTGCCTTGGACACCATTTCCTTCCGTGACTTGATCTTTTTGAACTCCTCGCAGGCTGACCAAAACTCAATGTTCTCATCGCAAAATTCGGACCTCAGAAAGATACAAAATGCAATTTTCCCATCTGCGTGAGAGATAGAGAGGGAGAAGAGAAAGATTAGAAAACTACTTCCGTCACACCTACTGGCTCTTTGCCCATTCATGTAGGTGAAAGGAGTGGCAGCTTTGTTTTACTGATGACTATAAAAAGATTTCATTCGGCTCACAGTAACCGTGTAACCTTAGTGACTCAATGTGCCAATAGAAGCGTGAATGATACTTACATTTATGACTGAGCAGCTTGTCAAGCGACTGCGCCCATTGGTTCACGTCATCTACGCTTGGCCTGAGGGTAAAGAACGCAGCTCACGTAAGAGATAATTATAGTAGCGCTAACTACTACGTTAGTGAAGTGTCACTGTAAAGAATTGCTTATCAAAGTTGAGTCATATTGCATGATCATATTGCATGATCGTGTTGCATGATTGTTTTGCAAACTGTTTGATGAATTATTTTACAGCCATTTGATGCTCTCATATCTTTTCCATTAAGAATTTAAGGACTTATATGAGCCATGTACAGTTCTCACTTATATGCACAAGTGAAAAATATGCCAAATCTTAATTTACATAAAATGCAAATTAACTGAACACCTGAAATTTGAGACATTAAATCCACAGAAATCATTTTAAAACAACTTGTAAAACAAACAGGGCTTACCGGCAGAGTCTGTTTTTCACACGCTGTGTAGAATTTGTCTTCAGGAGAAGTCGTATTCTGTTCCTCCAGTTTTTCTTTCTTTATAAAAGAAAATTTAAAAAAGAGTTCACTCATCTGCTTTTAAAGATGTGCAATTCTTTTACAAGGACATAGTGACCAGGAACGTGCTCATTAAAGACTGCATCAACTTACTTGATCCCCTTGTCTGCGGCCAGCTCTGTTGGTTTCATGCAGTCCGTAAATGCCATGTTTGGGGATGACACACTAGCAAGGTTCTCTCTCATTGTTCAGTCCTCCTCTCCTTCTCCCTCTTGACTTGTCTGGCAACTTTATAGCTCAGAATCATGCGTCGCAGCAAGGCGGAACTAGAACGGCGGGTCTGTAATGTGATTGGCTCTCCCTGAGTAAACAGCAGCTCGCCCCGCTGTGACTCTCAGCCCGAAGCAACGATAGGCTGTCGCTGCATAAATATTCCCTCCCTGAGTTGCCTGCGGGCTTCCATTTTTAAGAGTAAGGTCAAGACGTGACGTATATAGCACACTCAGTGCCCCTGTTCTTAAAATAAAGTTGTGTTGGGAGAGTAATGGAACTTTTCTCTTCTTTTTCTTCTTCCCCCCTGTGTTTATAGCCAGACACAATCACAATATCTTTAAGACTGTAATTGGTGAGTTGAAAACAAAATATATTTGAAATGAATAGATGAAACAGGTGATTCGTTGCTACCTTCTGTGTTGATGTTTAATTAATTACTCATAGAGGGTGTGGATCAGTCACTTCGCATCCTGACTCCTGTCTTGATGGCATGTTAGATATGGGCAAGTTGGAACAAACGTGATGATGTAATATCCTCTTACCTCTTTAGGTAAAAATGTAGGAACAATGTTTTCATTCCTCACATTTTATCCTAATAAAAAAAGCTTTAATTGAGTCCACCAGTAAACTTTAGGTGGTTACCTCCAGTATTGTTATAAAGCTCAAAAAAGGTTTACTTGTTTTTAAAGCATAACCTTATCTAGAGGGGAGTACTACCTGCTTTACTTGAAGTGTGTTTTAGTCAGTTAGAAACACAGTAGTTAAGGAACTGACCATTTATAGCAGAAGGTTATGGAGGCGAGATTTAGTGGATAAGGCCGTGCCTTTTGAGGGAGCTCTCAGAGGGATCTGAGCTGCAGTGCTGCTAAAGAACTGATCCGCCTTCACCAAACACATGCTCAAACATGAGATTTTATTAAAGCGAAGACAGCCAAAAACTTTCAACACCAGAGGCAGAGATCTGAGTAGCACTCCAGCCCAATTATGTTAGCACGAAGGTATCAGCAGTCACCTGCGAGAGATTCAACTTATCAAAGCTTTCTCAGGCACCACTATGAATACCAAAGAATAATGCTGGTGACTGATCAGACACGAGATTACAAAGTATGACTGAGGTATCTGATACTGATCACGCTGAGTTTCCTGTCTGGAGTATTCCACTGATACTCGATTAGATTTTATATAAAACATGGATACAGCCACCATGAGCCCACACACACGAATGGCATGCTGATTTGACTAGCAAGACACAGGCTTGTTTACTGGAAAAACTAAACAGACTCTTTAGAACTGTTGCTCAGTAAGAAAAAAATGACATCCGTGAGGCTCTGGGTGACATATATATA